TGTGTTGAGTGGTGTGTGTGTGTGTTGAGTGGTGTGTGGTGAGTGGTGTATGTGTGTGTGTGTGTGTGCAGTGCAGTGTGTGCCGCCTCACGCATGATCGCTACTTTACCCATGCACTCACTTCCCACATGCACATACGTATGTTTGCGATGTAGGTATGATCCACGCTTCCCGCCGCACGCTTTGACATGTATGTCGACACGTGTTTGGCATGCGTTTGTTTGCCCGCACTGGTCTTGTTGTCGCTTTGCGACGCCTGCACTGTTACCGCGTTGTTCGCTCACCGCTACTGGTCACACACACACACACACACACACACACACACACACACACACACCACACATACACACACACGCACACACACACACACACACACACACACACACACCACACATACACACACACGCACACACACACACACACACACACACACACAAAACAAGATGCCAATGTGTTGGACTACTTTGGCCACCCGGACTCCAACCCTTTCTACGAGCGAGAGTCGCTGAACGAACGCCAGAAACAGGAAGGCATTGACCCAGAGCGCCTCAAGTCAGTGTGATGTGCAGTGGAGAGACATAGTGGTGGTAGTGTCGCAGACGGAGATGGCATCCCTCTTTCATGCTTGCTGCTTTGATCTCACTCACACACGCATACTCACACACGCATACTCACTCTCTCACACACACACACACTCACACACACACACTCACACTCACACACTCACACACACTCACACTGTCTCACTCACTCACTCACTCACACACACTCTCACACACACTCACGCATCGGCCTTTGCACGCTTCCCACACAACACATGTGAAACAGGAACTATGAAGGTGTGGAGTACGCGGTTTCCCATGCACAGGACCCTGTGTTGCAAGTCATCCGAAAGCAGCTGACGCAGCGCGGGCGACCACCAAAGCCGCTGGCTTACTATTACGTTGCCCGCGGCAATGCCTTCCAAGCACCAGATGTGTGCTCCGTTGTATCCAGCCGTCTGGTGCGTCCGCCATGGTGGCCCCTGCTTGTTGCCCTTGCACTGCTTGTGTATGTATGTATGTATGTATGTATGTATGTATGTATGTATGTATGTATGTATGTATGTATGTATGTATGTATGTATGTATGTATGTATGTATGTATGTATGTATGTATGTGTGTGAGTATGTGTACGTGTGTGTTTGATTGCGATCAACCATCATCTTATTCAAGACGCGGCACCACGTACCGACCACCACCACAGGCATCCACCATGTTCCACCTGAGGAAAGCATTGTCAATTGGTAAGTTAACATGGTTGGTGTGACTTGATGTGGCGCGAACACACACACACACACACACACACACACACTCTCTCTCTCTCTGCCTTGGATGCGCGGTTGCAACAGCACGGGAACAGGTGGCAAAATCGGAAGACACAGATGCCATCTTCTCTCCCAAATCACACACAGCGAAGGACCCACAACATGACGAGCGATATCGACGTACGTGTGTGTGTGTGTGCACGTGCACTCGCTTGTGTGCTCATGATGTGCCGTGCGAAGCGCAAGCAGACGTTCGCTACTGCCGTTTGTTGCATGACCGCACCTCCACACACCTTCAGCCACCACCTCAACTCCTCCTCCCCCCGCCCTTGCCTCGTTGCACAGCCCCACCAACACTGCGGTCAAGAATGAACATGACATCGGAGCACGTGCTTGACGCGGGCAACAGGGCTGCAATATTGGCACTGGAGCGCATGGTAGGCACGCCCAGCGCACACCAGCAGCATCCCACACACGCGCACAGGCGGGCAAAGGGTGGTGGCACAGCAGCAAAGCGAAGCAGCCAGCAGCAAGCACAGCAGCAACAACAGCAACAACAGCAGAAGAGAGCAAGCGTGGACGATGGAACACAGCCCACGAAGCGAAGCAAACAGATGTGAGGACGATGCGTGGTATGCAGTGCTGTGACGTGACGTGATGTATGTTGAGAAAGGATAGATAACTGCCTGTGCCATGACACTGTTTTGAGCAATGTCTAGTGTGCCTGTGTGTCGAAGTGAATATCGTTCTGAAATGGTTCTGCACTTTGTTACAACTCCGTTTGCAACTGCTCGCCTTTGTCTTGTTGTTGCCGCTGCCGCCGTTGTTGTTATTGTTGTATTATACGTGTGGTGCAACACCGCTGTACACGACCGAGCACACAGAGAAAAGCTGCCACACCACACCACACACACACACACACACACGCACACACACACACACGCACACAAAAACACGCACGCATACACACATGCACGCACACACACACACACAAACACACACACACACACATTGAGGCGTCAGGAATGCAGTGCTGGGAGCGGGATTTGGTACATGTCCTGGTACACATCGCTCAGCGCCGCACGGAAGCAGAGCGCAGCGTTGCGCGTCTTGAACAGCAGCCGCAATCTTCCATCACCATCGCTGACAATCGAAGCACCACCATCTGAATCACCACTGCCGCGGCTGCTGTCACGCAGCCCAGCACGTGCATCAGCATCGTCTTCATCGTCATCATCATCATCCTCAAATGTCATGTCCACCATCACTGGATCGTCATCAGCATCATTAACACCTCCATCGTCGCCGCGCAGGGTTGTGATGTCCAGGCTTGCAACGTGCTCCACAGACACGGACCCAACACGGCTAGTGGGAGCGAGAGGGATAAATGGTGTGAGGTGTATGAGGTGCATGATGGGTGCGTGTGATGTCAGTGTGAGTGCGAACGAGAACCACGTCACTGCGATGACACACACACACACACACACACACAAACACACGCACAGACACACACACACACAGACAGACACACAGACATATACACATGCACACGCAAGCAAGCATTCATTCAAATCCACGTGTCAAGCATTTGAGCCAACAAGCAGATACACGGGTACATGGGCGCTCACGTTAGGGAGAACGTTGCGTGGTTTTCGCGGCAGATGTGGAGCTGGTCACCAGAGAGAACGACGGACACAAAGAGCCACGAGCACACGCGACTGGCATGCAGCCGTGGTGGCGGTGTGGTGATGGCGTGTGCTTTGATGATGGGTCGCGTTGGTGATTGGATGTTGGAGATCCACTCCAACTTGGCCAGCCGATTGCTGGTAGACTGTTGTGCATGCGTGAGAGAGTGTGTGTGGGTATGTGTGTGTGTGTGCATACGCGAGCGAAAGTGAGTGAAGAAAAAACACGCTCAATAGCTCGCCCGCTCGCTCGCTGCTTCTGCCATCAGCCAAGTCTCGCTGGGTGTGACATTACCAGCACGAGTGGTTCGTGGTCAACGGTGCTGATCTCAAAGCAGTGCGGTCGCTCGTCATGCACTGGCAGCGGGACAGATGGAGGGATGACGAGGTGAGGGGGGAGGGATGTGCGTGTGTGTGTGTGTGAACAAGCTGTGGAAGAAGTGGGAAGGACACACCAACATACACACACACACACATACACACACACACTTGACATGCGTGCACCAGACCTGATCTGCAGGTGAATCCTCGTGTTCGTCGCGAAATGGAAAACCGCTGATGTGAATCCTCCTGGTGTGAGCGTGTGTGTAAGAAGTGAAATGAGTGGCGCAACGTGAATTGAACCGAAACGAAATGCACCCATCTAGCATGCATTCCCATCTGTACGTACCTTGGACGTCAGGTGAAGAGCATCTTGCCTACAAGGATGGTTTCGACAGCAGTGCCATGAGTCAACGAATGCGAAACAAAGAACTACAAGGGAAGGGCATTCTGCACACACCCATTGTGCCCCATCCTCCACCATGACATTATTGCCTCCCCCTCACACACACACACACACACACACACACACACACACACACACACACACACACACACACACACACACACACACACACACACCCGCGCCGCAGAACACTGTGAGTGGATGGCGCACCTCAGGCGGACATCAAACGGTTTCCACGTGACGCCGCCGAGAAATCGCTCCCGTTTGCACTGCAGCGTACCCTGATGTTGGACTGCGCCACATATGTCACACGTCGATGGAAATTGGGAGTGAGGGAGGCACTTGAGTGGAGCAATTGTGCGATTTTGTGGAAACCAAACCAAAGGGATGCCACAAGCAAAGCAAATAAGCGCAAACAAACACACACACACACACAAAAAGCAAACAAACAAACAAACAAGCGCAAACAAACACACACACAAAAAAAAAAAACAAACAAACAAACAAACAAACAAACAAACAAACAAACAAACAAACAAACACACACACACACGACGCTGACGATGCAGACGACGTTGACAGTGCAAACAGCGAACGTAGACAGCCGCAAGCAACGGCGGGCAAATAAGCAGCCCGTCACCCTTCTCCTTGGCGTACGCGCGTGATTTTCATCTCACCCTCGTTGTTTGTGATGACGGTCACCGCCTTCGCCTCGCCAGCAGCGTAGCACACAAAATACTGCGGCGACGACAGCGGGATCTGTGCAGCGCAAGCACACACACACACACACACACGTGCGTGTTGGGGTGTGGGGTTAAACGTGAATTTTTTTCGTGTGCGGGCGTGCGAGGGAGCGAGCAGCGTTCGTGTGAAGATTGGCAAACACACACACACACACACACACACACACAATACACAATGCACATTCACACACTCTCTGAACACAACTCGCACACAGCACGCTTAGCCCACATGGACACATGGACACATAAACGGCGTACACATGCACACAAACGAACGTCCAACTGGTCGAAGAGAGAGTGGATGGCACTCTTGCGGTGGGCGTCAGTGGGCTGGACGACGAGTGACGGTGATCGCGTCTGAAGATCAATCATCACGCTGTTCGTGACATCCTGCACACGCACAGGCGTGATGCAATGAGCATGCAAGCACATGTTTTGGTTGGTGTGTGTGTGCGTGCGTGCGTGCGTGCGTGTGTACACATGTATGCATTCAAGCGTGTAAAGATACAACCATATGACAACAAACGCCAACGGGGTGTCATTCACTGGCACGCGGTGTTGTGCGCATTCACCTGGTCACCGGTGATGAGCGTGAGGTGTCGGAGGGACTTGTCGACCTTTGGATTCTTGTAATGCAGCAGGAAGCCCTGTCCACCCATCACAACACCAAACACCTGGAGCGATGTGGCAGCGAATGCAAAACAATGTGCCGTCAGTTCGGGTAAAGTGTATGTGTGTGTGTGTGTGCGTGTGTGTCAGTTAATGTGAGTATGCGTGTTTGTGTGTGTGTGTGTGTGCGTGTGTGTGTGTGTGTGTGTGTGTGTGTATGTTTGTGCAAGCCTGGAAGTGAGGGGGTTTGTTTAAGTGTGCAATCAGGCGCCGCAGTGGCTGTTCTGGCATGACTGCTCACACCTCCAGCACGCTGGGCGAAAACCCGACGAGAATCTCCCCATGACGCTGCGTCAACGCACACACATACGCGCGCACACGTGACAGGAGTGTTCGTGACAAGAAGATGGTTTGAACAGCCCAGAGCGATGTGATGATGGCGACAGCAGTGCAACGTGTTGGACAACTTTCTTCGCCTTTGAACGAGAACAGCACCATACATACACAGACACACACATACACAGACACAGACACACACACAGACACACACACACACACACACACACACAGGGCGCTGCACTGTGGCTGTGGTGTTACCTTTCGGTGTCAGCACGACGACGTACACGCGAACACTAGAGATGACAAAGAGCGCTGGAATCTCGGACCGTGACGCCACCAGTGACACGTGAATCACCTGCAATGACAGTGATGGGTATGTGAGAACATTGAATCATGTGGCGTAAGGCAGGACACGGTAGACGCGAAATGAACGCGCAATATCACGTGTCAACATGAACACACGAAATTGTTATCGGTGTGCTTGCTGCTCTACCATATCACCGATGGATACCTCCGCCATCAAAACACCACAACCATCCAGCAGCAGCAACGACAACAACTTAAACAACGACGACAATAACTGACGCGTTTGAGGTCCTCATCATCAGACTGAAGAATATTCATGCGCGCGAGGAGGAGAAGATCGGATTGCGGCGGTACGTCAAGCCCGCGCTCGCTCCCTGGCAGTCACAGTCGTCGTTGCAGGGGAACAGGAGGAAGAGGAAGAGGTGATGATGATAGATGATGGTGGTGGTGGTGGTGGTGGTGGTGAGAGAAGCACTAACAAGAGCGCAAAGCCTTGTGATCGCGACAGCAACCGGCACAAATCAACCAAGCACACACCCACACACACCCACTCACTCACTCACACACATAATCGATCGCACCTGGAAAGTGTGCACCAAGGGAGGAGGATTGCACGTCCTGACCACCGGACATTGTGTCCACTTGAATGCTGCGCTCTTCTTGTGCCACCTCTGCCGTCTCCTTTGCATCAACTGCCACGTCACTGCCCTCGTCACCAACACTTGTATCAGCATTGCCACCATCGTTTGGTGGCATCGCTGAATCGGTTTCCACTGGTGTGTCCTCGTTACCACCTGCAACGCCCATGCCATCATCCACACCCCCACTCACAACAGCTTGAAGACGCGCGGCAACGCTGATGCCGGTCAGCCCCCCTGCTGCAACACCATCACCATCACCATCATCACCAGCGCTATCATTCATGCGAGATGGCACCTCATGGTGATGTCTCTCTTCCTTCAGCGGTGTGGATTCGCGTACGACTTCTGCAAGCCAGCCACCACCTTCTCTTCCCTCTTCTTGCCCCCTCTCAACAGCATCATCACCAGCATCAGCAGCATCACCACCTTCACCAATGTTCATGTCACTGGCCCTCCCCTGCTCGATGCCCTGCGCCTCGCTGGCGTCCGGACCATCACCATTACCCGCGCCATCGTCGACTTCCGGTTGTTGCTCCTGTGCAGCCGAATGCTGTGTCTGCTGTGCTGTCGTTGCTGGTGGTGGTGAGGGTGGTGAAGGTGGTAATGCAGATGGTGCCTGTTCTGGTGGCGGCGATTGTGAGCTCTCATCCTTCATCTCTTCGCCACCACCCTCCAACCGCGGTTGTTGTTGTTGTTGTTGTTGTTGTTGTTGTTGTTGTTGTTGTTGTTGTTGTTGTTGTTGTTGTTGTTGTTGTTGTTGAGTAGCATCTGCAGTCTCCTTGGCAGCATCCACACTCCCCTCCACTGCCACGGCAGCTACTCCGACATTCGACTCCACACCATCAGCACCATCCTTCTCTTGTGCGTCTTGTTCTTCCTTTCCTTGTCCTCGATTCATCGGATGGCCCTGAGTGTCAGCAGCACCACCAGTTGCAGGTGCACCTGCCTCATCCTCGCCGTGCTTGTCGTCATTGTCACTGCGATCGCCGTTGTGCTTGGCATCAGTAGCAACTCCATTCCCGCTCACTTCAGTGGCCATAGGTGCGACAGCAACTGGTGCCACCACAGCCTCCTCCTTCCTCTCGACAGCATCCCGAGTATCGGTGGTGGTCGCCATGGAACCAGCACCATCGTTGTTATGGTGCGCACGAATGTCATCGTCTACGTTGTCGTCGTGCAGTTGCAGTTGCGTTGTGGTGGCATGCGTGCCGCCTTCCGTGACCGCACCGCTCTTTCCTTCCCCTGCTGCTTCGGTGCTGCCCTGCTGTTGTGGGATGGTCTCACTCACCATTGCACCGCCATCACCTTCTTTTTGTTTTGCCTCCCCATCATCCTTCTCCGACGCTGGGTCCTCCTCAAATACACCAACAGCACCAATGGAAGTGTCGGCGTCGGCATCATCATCATCACCAGCACCAACGCCAACTGCGTGCTTCTCGCCAACATCAACATCATCAACATCAGGAGCAACATCAGTATCATCACCATCATCGTGCCCCAACTCGCTACCCACGACATCCACTGCTTGCGCGGCCTTTCTGCTCTCCTTTGCTTTCGTCCTGCTCTTCTTCTTCGCTTTCGCTTTCGTCTTCACCTTGGGCTTGGGCTTGGGCTTGGCCTTTGTGTGCTTCATCACAGACACAACACCTCCCTGCTCCAAGGCAACGCGGTGTGTTGTTGCTGCTGCAACAGATGTTGTGCTTGAGCTTGAGCTCGCTGGTGCGTTCAGGCCACCGTCGCCGTGCTGGCTATATTCAGCGGCTGACATCGATGGCTGCCAACTTGCTGTTGCTGTTGTTGATGCTGACGGAAGAGCACGTGTCACCTGCACGCCTGCGCCCTTGATTGGATCAAATTCAGCCACATCCTGCGCTCACACGAATGTGTGTGTGTGTGCATGTGTGTGTGCATGTATGTGTGCGTGCATGTATGTGTGTGTGAGTGAGTGCTTTGGAGGCAGGTGTGTGCGTGTGTGTGAGCGTGCAAAACATCAAACATGTATGCGCATGCTGCCTCTGTTGCGATGGCCACGCGTGCCATCTGCAATAACGTACACAGCCGCATCACGAGCACTCACGAGATCGAGGCTGAACCGCATCTGCTCCAAACCGGACAGCAGCATCGTCACCACGCCCATCTCCTGTCCACAGTCAACAGTCCACGGCACGCGAGCCAGTGAGCAGGCAGCGTCGTCGAGGGCAAAGCAGAAACGTCAGGGGCACACGGATGCCCAGAACCGTGGCTGGATATGCAGCCGCACGCGCAGGCACACATGTACACACATGAGCACACACACACACACACACATGCGCACACCTCTGCTCGCAGCAGGAAGGCGTAGCTGTGTTGGCGATGAAGACACACACAACATCACCATCAACCGATGAAACAGGAGAGCAGTGGAAAAGACAGTCATGAGGAGTATGTTAGTCATAAGGGCAAATCAAGGGGTTGATTCATGAGCAGGCACACGCACACGCACACGCACACGCACACGCACACGCACACGCACATGCACACGCGTGCATGACGCACCGTTCGTAGATCTTGTGGAGCACAGCTGGGTCACTGAGGAAGTTGTTGAAGTAGCTCTCAAGCAGGGCTTCATTGAGAGCCAGCCGAATCCAGGCGCGGCACCGGCCCTTGCGTGTCTTGACATGCTGCAGCCCCTTGAGCTGTTAACAAGCAAGCAACCAAATACAAGCAAAAGCGCGGTGTGTGAGTGTGCGAGTGTGCGAGTGTGTGAGTGTGAGTGTGTGAGTGAGTGTGAGTGTGTGTTTTTCGGAGCGGGATATCGTTGGAGCGAGAGAACATGCCGGTTGCGCTTGTGTATGTGCGTAGGCATGTACCTCTTCGATGACGCCCTTGTGTGAGTAGTGCTTGATCAGCTTCCAATATGAGTCCTTGGCATACTTTTTCTGCAGCCTGTGCATGGGTTGTGTGTGTGTGTGCACAAGGTCAACCCGTACGCCCACTCATCACTCACGCACACAGACACACACAGGCAGACACACAGAGACACACAGACACACACAAACACACAGACACACACACACACTCACACACACACACGCACGCACCCGTGCTCGAGGAGGCGATCAATCTGCACGCACAGGCAGGATGCTGCGGTGCTGGAGGAATCAAACACAATGACGCCACCTTGATTGGCAAACGACACTTGCAACTGCAGTCGCGAGCGCACGTGGGTATGCATGCATGTATGTTACACGGCAGAGAGTGAGGCGAACAGCGCTACAGCTGTGGCACATGGACAAGCACAAAGAGAGAGAGAGAGAGAGAGAGAGAGAGAGAGAGAGAGAGAGAGAGAGAGAGAGAGAGAGAGAGAGAGAGAGAGAGAGAGAGACTGCACACACACACACAGCAGCAGCAGCAGCAGCAACATGCTGCTTGCTTGGATCAAGCAGGCAACAGACACTGGCTCTGTCACCGACCACAACACATTCATCACTCACCTCTTTGGTTGCGCGCTGCACTTCGCTCAGGATCTCATCAAAGTCCATGCTGTTTGATTTTGAGACACCATAAATAACCAACACCCAATACAGACCACAATACACACACACACCGCGACACATACGACAGCGATGGACGTTGTAGGCAAGCAGCTGATGAAGGCGCAGGCCAAGTCGATCAAGACTGACCTGTTTGGGGACGATGATCGCACCCCAGACTCAAAGTCATCGCGAGAGGCCGTGAAGAAGGAGAAGGAGCGCCGCAAGCACGAAGAACAGGCCCGTGCTGAACGCCAAGCACAGCGACGGTCGGTGGTGGCGCCGATCACGAAAGAGACAGAGAGGACAGAGGGGCACTCTTTCAGGGGAATGTACTTGATTCTCATTCACACAACGTACATCATCAGCACCACCCACACAAGCAAACACACACACACACACACACACACACACACACACAAACACAAACACACATACAAGCAAACACACACACCAACAAACACACACACACACGAAACTAACACTAGCAAACACACACGCACACAGGCGAGCAGATAGAATCTGAACGTACACACACACGCGCACAAACATACAACCTCCCGCATGTGGGGCGCATCTCGTTGTGCTCTTCGGGTGTTTGGCCACCGGGGAAAAAAAGGACCGACAGCGTCAGCAAGGACTATTGAAAGTTCAGGCATCGCCCCAAGGGACCAGGCCAGAAGAAGGACGCGACAAGGCGCTCAAGCTGATGACAAGAGCAGGACGCAAGGACTGACAAGTCCAAACAAAAGGATGCCCCAAAACAAGACACTGCGTCTGTCTTGATCGTGCGCGCACGGCTGTTTGCATGGTCTTCCTTCCTTCCGACCTCTATCCTCTCCACCTGCTGTCATGTTACAATGACACAAATGCTGTTATTTCCTGTCTCCTTACTTTCTTTGCGCCCACCCGCACATGGCGCTGTTGCTTGAAGACCATAATGGCTGCTTGCTTCTTGAAGAAGCGGCGATATCAAATCAGCACGCTTCATGGTTGTGTTGTATATTCTTTTTCCTTCTTGCAGGTGCAAGCCCCTCATGACTAGTCGAGTGAACCGAAAACAAACGAAAGGAAAGGCAAAAGAGATGGGGCATAGTAGGACGGACACACACACACATACACACACACACACACACATACACACACACACACATACACACACACACACATACACACACACACCACAATCTCTCACACGGACACATTGACGCACATACACTCACGCATACAACAAAGTGAAGTTGAACAGCGTGGATTGTGCTCAGCACAACCCAAGCAAACGCGCGCACACAAACACACACAAACACACACGTGCCAGACACCGCAATCCAAGCGATGTTGGTTGATTATGCAAAATGGTGAGTGAGGAAGAGGCCACAAACTTCTGTGCAGCGTCATACATCCGTCACTTGCGAGAAATCGGCGCCTTCCACAGTTAGCGTCACTGGCAGATGCTGATGCTCTTGTTGCTCTGGCTGCTGAACTGGTTGCGAAGGTGGTGGCTGTTGCGCAGAGGAACCATCATCATCATCATCATCATCATCATCATCATCATCATCATCATCATCATCATCATCATCATCATCATCATCATCATCATCATCATCATCATCATCATCATCATCATCGTCGTCGTCGCTGCTGCCGCTGGCGAGGGTCGGCACAGTGAGTTCAATGGTGCCCTCATCTCCCACACCACCCAGCATGGCATCACCATCCTCCTCTTCATCGCCACCGTCAGCGTCCTCTCCATTCTCCAGCAGCATACCCATGCCATCAAGCATGCCGCTGCTATCAATCACCACTTGCTCCCCGCCCCCATCAGAATCAGAGTCATCACCATCACTGTCATCATCACCATCACTGTCATCACCACGGTCGTTGTGCTGGTCGCGGTCTGGCTCACTCGCTGTTGTCGCTGCCTCCCACGTGCTCATGCGGCTCAGTCCGCTGTCGCTCACACTTCCACCGCGGCCGTCCCGCGCACCGTCGCCAGTCACGCCCGCAGCACCCGTGGCATCCCCATTGGTCGTACTACCATCACCACCAACACCACTGGTATCACCATTGGTGGCAGCGACAGCCGCAAGCAGCGGTTTCAGAGCTGCTGGCGCAACTGTCGCCTCTGCTGTTGGCGCTGCTGTCGTCATCACCGGCGCTGCTGCTGTTGGTGGTGCACATGCTGTTGTTGTGGCGGTCGCATCTGCGGGCGGGGCGACGGTGGCCACGCTGCTGGGGGCGTTGCCCGCATCCACGTCCACAACACCTTCCGAGTGGCGAAGCGGCGACGTGACAGCAGGCCGCCGATCAGAGCCCGTGCTCACCAAGCTGTTGCGCACACTTGGGATCGTTGTGCCACCAGTACCGCTGCTGCCGTCGTGGCTGCCATCCAGCCCCTGCGACGCAAGGCTCATCTGCGTTGATCGTCGCGACACGTGCGGCGACGGCGGTGCACGGTGGTGCACAACCAGCGACGCGTCAATGTCCTGGTCAATGGAGTTGGACCGGTTATCCGGTGCACGTGGCGCAAGGGCGTGCGAGGATCCACGTGGTGATTGCAGTGATGACAGCGATTCAAGCGACGACGCCAAGTTGGCCGTGGCGCTGTTTGTGGGCGGCACCTGTTGCTGCTGCTGTGGCTGTTGTTGTGGCTGTTGTTGTGGCAGCTCTTGTTGCAGCTCTTGTTGCGCCCCCAAGGCATCAGATGTCGCTGCACCAGCACCGTTTGTGTTCGTTGCCATACTGGGTTCATCAGCATCACGCTGCTTGTCAGGATGGTCATCGACATTCACATCCTGCTGATGATCCACCGCATCTGCCTCCGCCACTGGCGACAGCTCGTCAATCAGCACCTCAACAGCGCCAGCGTGATCTGAGTCATCATCTGCCCCCGCTGCTTCATCGCCGTCATCTTCTTCGCCCCTGCGGTCTTCATCGGCGTCACCATCCTCGGCGTCGCCTTCACCGTCGCTGCCGCCATCATCGCCAACTGGGCTGCTGGGCTGCGGCTGCTGTTGCACCTCGGTTGCGCCCGCGTGGTCGTCACTGTCGTCTTGACCGCCACCGCCACCGCCATCAGCATCAGCGCCGCCGTTGCTCGGTGGCGGTGAGGTCATGCCCTGGAAGAGATTCGCCAAGCTCGATGGTGTCTTTGAAACCGCGGGTTGTTGTGTCGTACCCTCTTCAGCCCCTTGCGCCTGTCCTTGCGCTTGCCTTTGCCCTTGTTCTTGCTGCTGCTGGTCGTCGTCTTGTGCGCTGCCGGCTTCGCCCGCTTGCTCGCCCTGCCCTGCGCCGTCCTGGTCAGACCCCTGCTGCTGCTGCATCATAAACTGGTGCAGCTCCATAACCGTTGGTCGCGCTGCCTCGGCCGGCGGCTCCTGTGCTCCAATCTCCGCCCCCTCCGAGACGGGCACGCCCACGGGCTCCCGCCGCCGCCGCCGCAGGAACGACGGCAGCCCGTGCCGTGACACGTCGCGCACTGCCTCCACAATCCGCTCCTTCGTGCACACGCCAACCAGCCGCCCATACTCGAGCACCACCGCGTAGTGCGTGTGCAGCATGGACAGCGTGTACACCAGCTCCGGCAGGGGCGTCTGCCGCAGCACCTGGAACGGGGCAGGGTTCACGGGAACGTTCTCAAAGTCAAACAGGTCGATGCGCCTGGACTTGAGCTGCTGCATAAACCCGCGCTGATACACGGTGCCGTACTGCTGCCGGATCAGCTGCGTGTACGACCGCACCGTGCCCTGCCTCGCCTTGGACGGCACGAGCGACGAGATCCACCCCGCACCACGCGTCGTGGTGCCCGGCTGCTTCTGCCCGCCACGCGGCTGCCCATTCTGCTGCTGCGTTTGCGACGTGGAGTTGTCGTCGTCATCACCGTCATTATCCTCCTCCACCTGGATCACCGTCGACTGCTGGGCAAACTTAACGCGGGGGCCCGTGCGTCGCTTCTTGCTCTGCCGCTCTCCGAGTGCTTCTTGCATCATTTTGCTCAGGCACGTGTGGTAGGCGGCGGCCAGCTCTTCGCGGTTCATCGTGCCAAGCAGCAGCATGCTCTCTGTCGTGTCCACCAGCATAATCAGCTGGTTGAATGGCGGGAAGTTGGTCAGCACGACCCGCTGCAACTCTCCAAGCGTCGTGAACCGCGGCAGCACAGGCAACACGCGCTCGGGCATGCGCAGCCGCGAATGCGTCTTGATCTTCCGGCGAACAGCATCGGATTGCGTCATGCGCAGACTGTCCACGGTGGACACGCCATCCAGCGAGGAGGGCTTCGGTACCTGCCCTGGCTGCTCTGCTGGCTGCTGCTGCTGCTCCTCCTCCTCCTCTGCTTGCTCTTCCCCTTGTTGCCCCTGCTGCTGCTGCTGGGCGTTGCTGCTGGCGACGGCGATGACCGAAGGGCGAGACGCAGACCCGCGTGCCTCTGCGCTCGGTTGTTGCTGCTGCTGATCCTCATCTTCGCCTGTTCCGCCGCTCTGTTGTGAGCGTTCGTCCTCACCATCGTCATCATCATCACTGTCTTCGCGTACACGGGAGCGCCTGGCACTCCCATTCACGCGCGCACTCGCGGCTGCTCGCTCCTCCGAACCTTCCACAGGCGTGTCGGTATCATTCCCAGAATCGTCAGACGAGTCGCCCTCGCCATCACCATCACCATCACCATCACCATCGTCGTCGTCGCCATCGTCGTCGTCGCCATCGTCATCGTCCACCAGCTTGTGCATGACCTGCCCCGCCGTCAGCTGGAACGCGGCGTCTGCGCGGATGGTGGGCAGGTACGGCCAGTCCCCGAGCGACAATATCGAGTCGTACACGTTGAGCGTGAACAGGTTGCCAACCACAATGGCCAGGCCAACAGCGGCAAGAAGCGGCACAATCATCGCCACAGAACCAACCGCCTCCATCAGGATCACCTGCAAGCAACAAGGGGTGCGTAAGCAGTTGGATGAGTGCGTTGCAGCAGAGTTAAACGGGCGTAGATGACATCGGACCAGCAACGAAGCTGTGGCAAAAACAACATAATCAAAACCCAGCAACAACTGCTTCAACAAGGCACAAGCAACAACTGCTTAAACAAAGCACCACCATCACCGCCGCCGTCACCACACATCGCGCAAGTCTTCAGCAGCCCGTACCGCTGTGGACACGGTGCGCGTGACGCCTGCGCCGAGAGCAGCTGCGCCAACAAGGGCGTAGCCTGCGGGAACAATGTCGTACGCGGGGAACCACGACACCATGGCCTCGCCGCACAGCCGACCCCACCCGGCGCCAACAGCCAGCACAGGCAGGAAGAGGCCAGCGGGGATGGTGAGCGTCGTGGAGAGCGCAGAGAGGAGGAAAATCACCAGCCCGTAGATGAAGAGGGATGTGAACACGTGCGTCTCTGCTGTCCAGTGGGCATGCAGGTCTGTGGCCACGGTGCCGTTGGTCGGCGTGAGCGGGCCTGTCGTGAAGAGATCCTGCACAGACTCGCGCAGGGGCACCTGCAGGTACTCGCCCGCCGTAAACGTGACGACGGCGGTGACGGTAGCCGCAACAACGAGCATCGTGTCCACAAACACGGGCCGCTCGATGACAAGGAATGGCGCAAGCTCGCTGCGGCGCAGACGAAGCAGGGCGTGCTGCAGCGCCACAAACGCGGCGCCAATCAGCCCGCCCATCACGCCCATGAGCGCAAACGCAACCATCTCGCCCTTCTCAAAGGAGCCCAGCTCAAGGTCCGCCGTCCAGAAGTTGTAGCCGTCCTGGCTGATGAAGAACACGGCAAGGGTGCCCGCAGCAACAGCGACAAACGACTTCCAGTAGTTGCTCGTCTCGTACGACACGGATGTCACCTCCACGCTGAACAATATGCCGCCAATAGGCGCCCGCACAGCAGAGGCAACGCCGACAGCACTGTCGCGTCGTGTATGCACATGTGTTTATGCGTTGCGTGTGTTGCGTGAGTGAGTGTGTGTGCGTGTGTGTGCGTGGGTTGTAGGAGATCGCAAACGCATGCACACGACCAACATCAAACACGCCAACACCAAGTTGCCAGCCCTAGCAACTGCCTACCCCGCTCCACCACTATCACGTACGCTGCGGCTGCGTAGAGTTGGAGCATGAGTGGAGCGCTTGTGCGGAGGTGAATGAACACAGGCAAGCGCGTGAGCTTGGACGCCAACGCCGTCGCAATGTGAACAAAGGGGCCTTCCTTGCCTGCAAAATTCGGGGGGGGGGGAGGATATGGGAAAGACGCGTCAAAGAGAGAGGCCATCAAGGGGGTGGGTGGGAGCAACAAGGCAATGATGACAATGACTGTTACAGGCAATAAAAGCGTGTCGGACCGCAGCGTTGAGACACACACACACACACACGCACAAACGTACACACAACACACCGACAAAGAGGCCGCTGCCGAGGGCGAGGGTGAGGCCGACGGCTTTGGAGATGAGCGTCTTCAGCTCAAGATAGCTCGGAATGGGGATCCCGCTCAGAATAATCTTCAGTTGCTGTTACGCGCAAGAAGAGTGGGCAATGACAAACGGCGCGTGAGGAAATGACTCACCGCGGACAACAAGAGGAAGCTCCTGTCATAGACACACAAACAAACAAACACACAAACAAACAAACAAACAAACAAACAAACAAACACAAACAAACAAACAAACAAACAAACACGTACCGGGATGCCTGAGCCGCGGGCCGCTGCGCGATGCTTCTTGCTGCTGACGTAATAGGTGACCAGCATGGCAGTGAGCGCAAACAGCAGCACAATCAGCACCCAGAGGAAGAAGCGGGTGCCGTAGGGCAGGTCCAACGACATCACGCCGAGCCGCGCATCAACAATCTTCGTGCCAATATACTCCACAGCAAAGTCGAGCACGGCGGAGAGCAGGCCCAACAGCAGTAGGAATGAGGGTGTCCCCAGCTTGCGGTGGTGGCTGCTGAGGTATATCGCCTCCTCTGATGTGGCCAAGTGTCCGTTGGAGCGCACGTCGTCCAGGTACTTGATCTTACCCGACCGCAGCTTCACCGCCTCCCGCTGCCGGTCCAGCATCATGCGCGCCCCATCCCGCAGCTCCCGCACATATCCGCCGCGCAGCGTGGCCATGTACGAGTACTGCCCGCCGTCGTCAAACGAGCTCAGCCCGCGGTGGTCGAGGTCTGGCCGGTCGCGACGTCGCGTTGTGCGCGGACGGCGCCGCCCTGCTCCACTCCCCTGCAGGCCATCGCCACCGCCACCACCACCACCATCGCCGCTGTCATCAATACCGCTAGCCGCTGTTGCTGTTGCTGGCGATGCTGTGGTGGCAGAAGCTGTTTGGTTGCCCACGCTTGAGCTCGCGCTCATGCTTGCGCTGTTGCTGTAGGACGAACTGCAGCTGCTGGTGCCACTCACGCTCAGGCCCGACGTGGACGAACCAACGCTCACGCTGTCAACAGACCCTTCCAGCTTGCCCTGAGCACCGGGTACGGTGAGCAGGTTGCCGTCGCTCGTCACGGGTGCAGGTGCTGCTTCTGGCTCAATGGCCTCCGCCTCCCGCACCTCAAACGCAGGGATGGTCGTCGGCGTCGTCGGCGTCGCTGGCGTTGTTGGTCGCCCCTCCCCTGACTGTTGTTGTTGTTGTTGTTGTTGTTGTTGTTGTTGTTGTTGTTGTTGTTGTTGTTGTTGTTGTTGTTGTTGTTGTTGTGGTGGTGGTGGGGGTGTGCCATTGATAGGGGCAGCAGCGCCCACAGGAACCGCCATCTCAACAAGTTGGCCATTCTCAAGCACTTGCTGCACGCTGTGTAGCTGCTGCTGCTGCTGCTGCTGCTGCTGCTGTCCTGGAATAAGAGTTGCAGCTGCGGGTGATGTGCGGGCGGGGCGGAAGGAGGCTGGGGACGTGGCTGTGCGGTGTGGTGTGCGCCGTGACAGCGGCGACGTTGGCCCCGAGCGCGACTTGAGAATCGATTTCTTGGGCCGCTGCGTCAGCAGCACCTCCGCAGAGTGGCGGTGTGCACGGAACCGCGGGCTGTGGAACTCGTTGTACTCGTCTCCGGCCACCACCTCCGTTGACCACCCACCATCGCCGCGCCCATCGTACGCCACGCTGCTGTCGTCCTGGTTTGCGTCATAGCGAGCGCTGTAGCGGTCATCATCGCTGCCACCACCGCCACCACCAGCGAGGGTGCCGTTGCTGTGGTGGCGGCGGAGGTGCCGCTTGAGTGCTTGTGCAGCAGCATCACCAGCACTCGCGTCCGGTCTGGTGTCATCGCTGTCAGACCCCGAACCGCGCAATGCATTGCCTTCGCTGTCGATCACGGTTGGTAGCGATGTTGAGAGGCGGGCACGACGCCGAGGAGCGCCGTCGCTGTCGCCTGGAGACTTGTCGTTGCTGCTGCGAAGGATACCGCGTGTTGGGCTGCGCACTTGCACGCTCGCACGCGGCGATATGGCAATGCGCACCCCTTGGTCTTGGTCTTGTTGTTGTTGTTGTTGTTGTTGTTGTTGTTGTTGTTGTTGTTGTTGTTGTTGTTGTTGTTGTTGTTGTTGTTGGTCGTCTATTACGTTCTTGGGTTTCAAATCAGAGTGCACATCCTGGTTCTGTTCCACATCAACAATCACTCTGCGTGATTCCCTGTTCTCGCCGTCCACCGGTTCCTCGTGCTTCCTGACATCACCACCACCAACATCGCCGTCACCCCTCGCTTCATCAGCACCGTTCTTGTCAGCCTCTTCACCACTGTCGTCGCCACCACCACCATCACCACTGCCATCGCCACCATCACCATCGCCACCATCACCATCATCATCATCATCGCCATCATCCAAGCCTGTGAGGTCACAAATCATGCTGTCGTCGATGGTGATGGGCAGGACCATAGTCCGTGTCATACGTTGTTGTTGTTGTTGTTGTTGTTGTTGTTGTTGTTGTTGTTGTTGTTGTTGTTGTTGTTGTTGTTGTTGTTGTTGTTGTTGTTGTTGTTGTTGGTCGTCTATTACGTTCTTGGGTTTCAAATCAGAGTGCACATCCTGGTTCTGTTCCACATCAACAATCACTCTGCGTGATTCCCTGTTCTCGCCGTCCACCGGTTCCTCGTGCTTCCTGACATCACCACCACCAACATCGCCGTCACCCCTCGCTTCATCAGCACCGTTCTTGTCAGCCTCTTCACCACTGTCGTCGCCACCACCACCATCACCACTGCCATCGCCACCATCACCATCGCCACCATCACCATCATCATCATCATCGCCATCATCCAAGCCTGTGAGGTCACAAATCATGCTGTCGTCGATGGTGAAATCAACGGCAACAGAGGCCTCTCCTCCACCATCATCGTCGTCGCTGTCGTCATCTGTGCTGCTGCCGCTCCCTGCATCAGATGATGACGATGATGGTGATGACGAGTCGGGGTCTGTCGACGCGTGCGTGTTCGGTGTCTCCGCCTCGCCATCCTCACCATTACCACCACCTTCGCCGGCGTTATAGTTGCTGGCGTTGGTGGCGTTGTCTCCATGTTCGGGTGTCTCGGCTGGCCTGCGAGAGGGCTCCACGGTGTGCTGTGCACTTGCACCCGTGCGTTGTTGGTCTTGCTGCTGTTGTCCCTGCTGTTGTTGTTGTCGGTGGTGGTCGTGGTCGTCGTGGTGCCCATTTGCATTCGCTGCCTTGCCGGCGTCATCGTCCTCGCCGCCCTCCATCCCGTCATCCGCCGCGTCAGACAGCACATGCACACCGGAGGTGTCAATGTGGGAGTGCACACGCTGCTGCTGCTGCTGCTGCGGGTGGGACGTGGCAATGGCATGCGGGACGTTGTCGTGGGTTGTATCGTGGTGGGTTGTATTGTGTGGTGCTGATTCGGTGTCGTGTGCAGTGTCGGAGCACGCGCCACCACGTGTTCCCTGGAGGGGCGCTGCCTCGGCTGGTGGAGCCGTAGAGCTGCTGTTGGAGCTCCCAGGGTTGACAACGGTGGACTGAGACGGAGGGGTGACGGAAGGCTGGGCGGTGGCAGGGGTGGCGCCGGTGCTGTCTTCGAGTCGCGGGTGTGGTGTTGCTAGTGGCGACTGGTCGAGAGAGGCCGGCGCGTGGCGTTGCGCTTGAGAAGGGGCGTGAGGGCTTGCAGGGGTGTGCTGCTCATCAGCCATTCACTGTGGTGTGTCGAACGTATTGTGTTTGTCTGTATGTTTGTGTGCCTGTCTATGTGTGTGTGTGTGTGCGTGCGTGCGTGCGTACGTGCGTGCGTGCGTGTGTGTGTGTGTATGTGTGAGCGTGTGTGAGTGCGTACATGAGTGTCAGGGAAGAAGTGGTGCCATGAGTGCTCGACAGAGTGTGCATGTGTGAGTGGTTGTTCAAAACAGTTGAACTGTGAGTGCTGACAATCGCTCGACAAGGCGAGTCTCGACACTACGGAGGTTGTTTGGATGGGTGTGTATTGTTTGAGGAGCACGCATGCAAGTATACCTGTCTTGCTTGAAAGTGAAATAAGAAAATGATTCAAAGGCAGTCGGTACCTGTAGCGTGTGATATGAGCGAAGAGGGCAACCAATGGTGTGTGTGTGTGTGTGTGTGTGTGTGTGTGCATTGGGGTGAGTGGTGACAACGTGATGGTGCATGCAATGTAAGACGACAGCAGCTCATTGTGCCACAAGCAATGCGACGAGCATGTGATGTGGCGCTGTCTCAAGTGACTTGAGTGACAGCCTCGGTTGCACGGTGGGCACACACACACGCACACACACACACACAGTGTAGCAGCTGCACGTGAGCAGGGGGGCAGAAGAAGCAAGAGCAGCCACGCAGAGGTGGTGGTGCTGGTGCTGGTGAGACTTTCAAACGCACCACGACGCGAGCTCGCAGGCAGAAGAAACGTGCAGAAAGCGCAAAAAGACAAAGAGAGGTGGCGGATTTGTGCGTGCAGAAGAAGCAAAAATGCACACACACAAACAAAGCCACACACACAAGCGAGGAAGGGCAACAACGCCAACCCAAAAAGTCCGGAGATACAAGCGACTGAATCCAGTATGGCTTCTTGAAAGCGGAGAGCGACAGGATGTAATGTTGTGTCGTCTCTCATTTTTCGGCCAGCAACAACAACCACAGACCACCACCACCACCCACACCACCACAACAGACCCAGCAACCATGTCTGCGAAGCAGGGAGCGAGCCTCATTGTGTACACCATGCTTGCGCTTGGTGCCATTGGCTATGCCATTGAATACCCTCATCTCATTGGTACGAGATGGTGTTTGAGGAGAGGGGAAATTTGTTTTTTGGGGGGGGGGGCTTGCAAGGAGCAGTTCTGTTGGTGATAACGACGGTTGTTGGTGTGGTTGTGGAGTGATTGTGGAGTGGAGTGATTGTGGAGTGGAGTTTGTTGGTGGTGTTGGTGGTGTTGGTGTGGTGTTGGAGTGGTTGTGGAGTGTGATTTGGTGGTTTGTGTTTGAGTGATTGTGTTTGAGTGATTGTGGACTTATTGTGTGGTGGTTTTTTTCGGCGGTGATGTTGTGGGGTTTGCTTGCTGCGGCCACAGTCATGCTATGCTGTCCTGTTCATCTGTCATCTCCAACAAACCATGTTCCACTTCACCGCTTTTGACTCAACAAACAACACCTTCTTCGACGACCGCAAACAATTGACATGACACACGCACTTCCCTCCCCCCCCCAACAACAACAACACACAAACACACACAACCATGTTCGGTTGATGCAGAGGAGTACAAGAAGAACCCGCCATCATGGAGCAAGTACGCCAAGACCAAGGCTGAGCACTGAACCCGTACCACGTGTTTGTGATTGTAGTTGTGTATTGTTAGTGTTGTTGTCCTTGTCGCTTCTGCAAAAGTGTGAGTTGATGTGTGAAGCAATCACAGCGCTGTTTCCCAATCATCGAAACACGGTGATACTGTGCTGTGATGTGCTGCGCTGGCATGTGGTGTGATGGTATTCATCTTGAGCAATTGCTCATAGTTTGTCAAATGGTCGTGTGCGTCTGTCTCCACAAGTCCACTTCGTCTGTGCTTCCTCTCCCCATATGTCTCATCTTCCCACCGTTGGTTTTGTCTGTGCGTCGTCTCAGCCAAGAAATAAACACAGTACAACAGCAGGACCTAACTCAACAACCTGTCACTGTCACTATGATGTTTAGTCACGCAGTTTTATGAATGTACACACGCAGCACACTTTCAATACTCTTCTTGTTATCGCACATGTGCGCACCAGTCAGCAATGAAACCCGAGAAGCAGGACAAGAAAGCTATGTACAAACCACGTGTACACAAGATATCCAAACACACACGCACATACCACACACACACCAGCACGCAAAACACTTCTTTTTTTCCGACGCTGTCCAACCACACACAGACACACACACAGACACACACACACAGACACACACACACACACATACACACACACATACACACGCACACATCCACGAGCACACGCAAAGACGCTTGTCATCACATGACGGAGCAGACGGTGGAGGACTGGCTGCGCTGCTCGGGCGTGGATTCCCGCCATTTCTGCGCCCGCAGACCCACCATAATCGACTGCACAGCGCCTTTGAACCGCTTGTCAGCACCCTTGCTCAACGCGCTCTTCACATCGGCGACGGTCACAGTCTCGCTCGGCTTCTTGTCCTTGATCAGCTGTGAGGCGATGATGGGTGTGATTGATGGTTGATGTCAGTTAGATTTGTAAGAGTGGGTGTTGTTCGGGTTTGTCAATCCCTGACATGAGGCGGCATTGCGTGGACACAGGATAGTTTCGAAACGACAGGGCCACAAACAGTCCCACCTCACGCATTGCCATGTCACCACCTCATGCAACTTCACCATCCCATCCCAACCCCCCAACCCCTTGGCGTCCATCACCGTTCACGTGCACATAACAGCTGGCACATGTGTGTGTGTGTGTGTGTGTGTGTGTGTGTGTGTGTACTCACCTCCCTGACGTTGCTGATGCGGCGGGAAATGCGCTCCGAGCGGCGACGGTATGTCTCCGGGAAATGCGCTCCGAGCGGCGACGGTATGTCTCCATCTCACACCGCAGCTGCTGCAGCTGCTCCTCATACTCCTGCGACTTGAGCGACGTCTGCGCAGACACACGTCGTTGTAGACGTTGCGCGTGTAGTTGTGTTATGTGTGCATGTGCGTGAGTACAACAGAGAGAGAGTGTGTGTGCGCGCGCGTGTGCGAGTACAAGTGTGTATGTGTGCCTGTGTGTGATGAGATTCGACATACAACCATACAACCGTGACGATAACGAGCGTATCACATCATCATCATTATTATCATTGCAACAGTACAGTTGTTGTTGCTGCCGTTGGTGTTGCTGATGTGTTGTTGTTGCCAACGTACGAGCTGCAACGACGCGAGTGTGTGTCCTTTCGTGAAGACGGCCTTGTTCTCCTCCGAGCCCGTCTGATCGCCCCAGATCTCAATCACAAGCGCCTCGCTGGTGACAGCCGAAGAAGAGAGAGAGAGGGGGGGGGTCAGCCGCGAGCAGTGCACAGAGCAGGAAGGAGAGGAGGGAGACGGTAAGGAAGGAGACGGTCGCGGGTGAGGGCGTTGAACAGGAAGAAAGGCAAGATGGGGTCAAGGTCGACACTGCACAACAATCCAACGCAAGATTGTACCATACCACACACACACACACACACACACAGACACACGATCACATGAATTCATTCACATCCAACATCGTCACGCATGGAACAAGAGCGCACTTTGACATCCAGTCGATGAGATCCTGGCAGACGGATTGGATGGAGATGATCTTGGAGTGCTCGATGTTCGCGTTGATCTTCTCTTGCACCTGAACACACACACACATGCACACACACACATTCGCAGGCACAGCCATGGAAGGCAAAAGAGGAGGGAAGGGGAGTCGGTAAAGCGGTGTGATGTGAGTGGTGGGTGCCTGAGATGCTCACATTTGCTCACAGTTGCTGCTCTTCATGGCTGCACAGCCGTTTGATCGCATGTGACCTAGCACAAGCAGCAACAACAGCAACAGCAACAGCAATAGCAGCAACAAACTGAAACAAAACCAGCACAGCAACAGCAGCGGTACCGGTGGTGTCTGGACGTCCTCCTCGTCATCAAACCACTTGTAGCTGCAGTGGATGGAAGAATACTGTGGCGGCAGGCCCGTCGCGGTCTTGATCTGTCAGCATTCGTCAGCATGTGTTAGATGTAGAGGGTGCGCATGCATGCGAGTAGTATTCAATAAAGAAAAAAGTGCAGGAGAGACCCTGGCACATCTGCAAAGGCATCAACACAGACAACACAACACACCAACAACGTAGGCATTGCTGTTCTTCTTGCTGTGTATGTGTGTGCATGTGTGTGCATGTGTGTGTGGTGCAATATGCGCTTCGTTCAACAAGTGCGTGTGCGTGTGTGTGCGATACTTACGGAGACCATGATGTAGTACGGGTGGCCGACGAGCTCGTCTGGATCGTCCACAAACAGCTCAAACTCGTCCTCGTCAAACGGCGACCCGTCCGCGCGGCACGGGAACACGTGTACGTCAAGGTGGCCTGGGTTGCGGAGATGCACAGGTGAGCGTGGCAGCATTGCACGGCGTGCAGAGGAGAGGGGAATGCAACGCTGTTGTGCTTTGGAAACCGCAAGCACTTACTCTCCATAACAATAACAATCGCACAAGCAAACACAACAGCACAAGCAAACAGCAGACACAACAGCACAAGAAACACGCACGCACACACACACACACACACACACACACACACACACACACACACGCACACACACACACACACAAACACACAAACACACAGAGCACCGGTACCTTGGATTTGACCGTTGTGGTCGAGGATGCTGACGCTCTCCTCAAGGTCCATTTTGTAGCAGAGCGGCTGCAGGTATATGTTGCAGAAGCCAATCTTCACCGCCTTGTCCAGCGCCTCAAAGAACGGATCCTGCCACGGTGCGAAGCAGTGTTGTGGAAAGGACACAGAGAATGGAAAGAAGATGAGCAGAGATGGTCGTGAGAACCGACAATCGACACACACACACACACACAACGCAAAACAAGAAGGAAAAAACAAAAGGTGTGTGTATACACAGCCGTGGGCCTAATTAATTACCCAGCACCTCTGCACGACCACCACGTTACACCTCACCGCCACAATGCCACCATGGCCAGCATCACAGCCACAGCGCACCAATTACTGACCGATTCTGTGGGGCGGTCCCAGTCCGGGTCCTCCTCCATCTTTGCGTTGAACATCTCCAGCATGGCGTACTTGCGGTTCATGAAGCGGTTGCGCGACCAGATCCACGACGCACCCGTCTTCGTGTCCGCCACCAGCACCTTCGAGCGAGAATGCGTGGGAACGACAAGAGGGGTTGATTGAGGGTGTGATGGCAGTCATGCGTTAATGGTGAAGCAGACACATGCAAGACACACGACATGCAGCGCATCAAGTATTCATCGACATGAGGGAACGATGCTAAGAAACGACATGTAAAGGACACACGCGTTCCTGTTGTGTAATACCAGCAACACAAGCCCCTTGACAGCGCTCGCCTGCCCACACCCAAACCAAAGCACCACCACAACACAGCACCGTCATCGCACGACGAAACCGCGTCCAACCCTACCTTGACGTCTGGCTTGTTGGACTTATCCTTGCTCTGCACGAGCTCCAGACTGAAGTACTTGTCCTTGTTCAGCTCCGTGCTGATGGCGTTTGCTTCTGTCACGTGGCGAAGCAGCGTCTCAATCTACAGCACCAACGAAGAAGGTATGGAGTGAGGCAAGGTCATTCAAGGAGGTGTGTGTGTGAACATGTTTGTGTGTACGTGTTTGTGTGAACATGTTTTTGTGTTCGTGTGTGTGTGATATGTTTGTGTGTACGTGTTTGTGTAAAGTTTGCGAGCCAATGTGATGCCTGCTCGACCACCCAAGCACACGCACGCGCACATGCACACGCACGCACCTCTTCCTGCAGGAGCAGCTGCTCTGGGCTCTGGTTCATGTCTGTGGTGAGACCGCTGTGGCGGGCAATCTCTGCCTGCGCGTCCTCAAACGTGGGGATCTTCCACACCTTTCCCTCAGACTCGGCAGCCTTGGCCTCGCCTGGGATGCTCATGCAGTAGAGGTGCGACGGCCCCAGCAGCACCCGCGAGTGGTGACGAAGCTCGACGGGCTCGTTCCTGCGCGTCGCGAGAGGTGGGCGACGCAATGCGGATGAGTATGGGTGAGACAAACGTCGTGTACGTGTGTGTGTGTGTGTGTGTGTGTGTGTGCGGGTTTCACAGTGTGTGATGAAGCCGAGGAAACATCTCAAACACACCAAACAGTGCCACGAACACATGCCCTCCACCGTCACCACCACCACGAGGACAGCGCAGTCAAGCTCACTCGAGTTCTTTGCCGTTGACGAGGATCTTCTCGCGTGCTGCCGCCTTCTTGATGAACAGCTTGCCGTCGCGCCGGTGGATGATCGCGTGCTTCGGCGCAATGCTCAGCCCCTTCAGCACAATGTCCGTCGGGTCTATGGCGATGGGTAGCGGCGGGGGAGACAGTGTGTTGCGTTGTGCATGTGGTGAGTGTACGATTGAGGGGTGTGTATGGTTGTGTTTGTACTTGCGAGACAGACAGTGTCAAGCGACAGGGTCAAGCGACGGTGTCAAGCGACGGGCGTGAAGAAGAGTGCACCAAATACACGCACGCACACGCACACACACACGCACACATACACACACAGACGCAAGTGTTGGCGGCTCACCATCACTGCGGCCGTTGCCAACGGTGACCTCGTCCTTTTCGATAAAGTAAGCAATGACACCTGCAAACGACAGCACCAACAAACGGGAAAGAGGAGATGGATGAATTAGCAGCAGGGAGCAGGAAAGTGAGACCACACAAACATGCACACGCTTGCACAGACACACCTTTTCACACACACGCGCGCGCGCGCTTTCACACCCCCCCCCCGCACACACACACGCTTTCACACTTCAGTGCATCATGTGCATTTTAGGCACAATGGCAGTGGTTGTGCACGTACAGCTGAGGGCGGGATCCTCGTTCATGTTCCAGAGATGCGGAACGTGCTTCCGTTTCTCCTTCTCTTGCGTCGCAGCTGCGTCCTGTGGGCAAATGATGGAGATGACCGTGGCAGGAGGCGGCGAGCACATGTGTCAAAAAGGAAACAAAACAAAGTAATCCGACCCAGCAACACACCCACACGCACACCACACCACACACACGCACGCACACACATACACACGAAAGCAGCCGGTGCAGTGATGACGCACCACGGCAGCGTGCTTCCTCTTCTCCTCCTCCAGGCGCTGTTCCCAGGTCTTCTTCATCTCCTGCATCTCGCGCTGGTTCTCCTCCATCTGCCGCTTCAGCTCCTCGGCCATCTCGCTCCCGCCGCCAGCGCTGCCGTCACCGCCGTCACCGCCGTCACCGCCGTCGCCCTGGATGAAATGAGGTGGTGACGTGAGAAAGGGGGGGGGGTGAATGGAAAGCAACACAGGAGGATGAACAATGGAAGCGGACAGAGAAGCAGTTGAAACTTTGGGGGATGCATCTCCTCACACACACGCACACATACACACGCGCACAAGCACGCACGCACTGACACATCCTTGCCACCACCGCATAGGCCCTCAAGCCATCCCATTCCCGCGTTCGTGCGTGACTGCGACGCGTGTGCTGACCTGGGTGAGGCCCGGGGGCAGTGCACCGCCTTGCAGCATGGCCATCAACCGCGCATTCTCCTCCCGAAGTTCGCGGATCAGCCGCTCCGTCGGCGTCTCGTTCACCACGGCCTGTGTCTTGATGGACTTGACGCGGTCTGCAAAGCGCAGCGTGGAGAGCGTCTCGTCGTAGTTGATGTCGGCCGGCGACAGCGCGGCGATCATAATCGTCTTGGAGTTGCCGCCAAGCGCATTCTTCAGCAGTTTCGTCAGCACAGAGTCGCGGAACGGGATGATTTTCTGCACAGCAGTATAGAGGGTGTGTGTGTGTGTGTGTGTGTGTGTGTGTGTGTGTGTGTGTGTGTGTGTGTGTGTGCGTTGTTGTTTTCGCAGGTGTGAGAAAGACGTACGATGTTTGCAAACAGCCAGGTGGCAGCTTGTCACGACCACTCCACATGTCATGAGCCAATGCGCCCACACACTCCGACCAAGCATTCTAGCAGTGACATAGCCGCAATCGCACCTTCTTGCCGTTTTGCACGTCGACGAGTGCGGAGATGACGTTACCGAGCGTGGACAGCGACTGGTTGATGGCTGCTCCTTCCTTCAGCCGATCGCCCTGTGCACCTGTTGGTGTTCACGCACGCACGCACACGCACACGCGCATGCACATGCACACGCACATACGCCAAGAGCAGGACGTTACGCGTCACGTTCAATGTCACAACGACCTTCGACTAACTACCGTCGCACTGTGTCCCCTCCCTCCCCCAAGTTCCATTTCCACCTACCGCAATCTGCCCTTCCCCACCCTACGCCCTCATCCTCCTCTGCATGTCCGTGCATGCCCGTGGCACGACGCACCTGTGCTCTCAGCGCGCTCTGAACCGGCGAGATCAACCAGGTTGATGCTCGAGCTCTTCGTCATGTTCACGCCGCCCTCATTCTGCACTCGCATCGACGACAGAGGAAGAGTGGTGGTGGTGGTGGTGGTGGTGAGTGGTGCAACACTATAAGAGAAGCACACGAAGCAAGCAGAGCTACAACTTGTTGAACAAGTGCTGGTCCCATGACAGATAGACAGACACACACACACACACACACGGACAGCCACATAACGTACGGTTGTCTTCTGCTTGACGTTGACAGTGACGATGGTGTGTGCACGTGAACTGGTTGCGTTCATGTTTGTGGCGGCAATGGTTCGGTTTTTCGTTCCCTGACGTGTGTGTGTGTGTGTGTGTGCGAGAGGGTTAGTGATTGATCTCACGGCATCGCCAAAACTGTTGCATACTCGGTCGCACGAAGCGCAAGCCAACGCTCAAGTGAGTACACGTGTGTCAAGTAAGCGCACGCGTGCACAGCGCCTACCTCTTCAATCCTAGCCTCAATCTCCGCAAAGGAGTGGACGGGCACAACACGGAGGTCGTTGACATAGAAGCCCTTCTTCGGGTGCTGGCGAACCTTCAGCCCGCCCTTGGGCTTACTCGACCCAAGCAGATCCTGCACCTGCTCGTTGTAGATCTATAGTGTGTGTTTGTGTGTGCGTGCGTGTGTGTGTGTGAATATTTGCGTGGGACAAGGACAGAGGAGGTGACCAGACGCGCACGGCACGCTGGGACAAGAAAAGGCCGTTTCAATCGCAGCAAATTGGCTCCCTTGACAGCCAGCATGGTACAAACCTCCAGCATGGAGAAGGAGACATTGAATTCCGCGTTTGGAACTTTGTTGCCGCTGATGCCCTGCAACACGTTGAGGTATTGACATGGTACATGAGGTCAAGCGGCGTGATGTGAGCACTGAGCGTGCCAGCACAGCGTGCTGTCGATCTAGAACCCCAAGAAACACCACTGCAAACCTTTGCCCATCCGCGCACACACGCGCGCGCACACACACGCGCGCGCACACACACGCGCGCGCACACGCACGCATACATACGCACACACATGTGCACACACCTTGAAGAGCTCATCGCAGGTGACTGGGACGATGCCTCTGTTCACGCCATAGCCGACCATGGAGTACGACTTGCCGGAACCGGTCTGACCATACGCAAACAGCGAGCAGTTGTAGCCTGCGCACGAACATGCATGAATGGCATGACAAAGGATCAGAGCGCGTGCAAGGGAGCACCTCCTCACACATGAATGCACGGCTCAAAACAGGATGGGATGTCCTCCAACACACACACACACACACACACACACACACACACACACACACACACACACACACACACACACACACACACACACACACACACACACACGTGCGCGCACGATCCGAGCGAGACAACTGACCGTTCCAGGCATTCTCCAGGACGCCTTGTCCGAGATCATCAAACACTTTTTGCTGTATGGTGGGTGCAGTGCAAGCAGGGAGCGTGAGCTGGGCCAGCAGGGTATTGTCAAGGGTATTTGCAGGGCAGGCCGTGTATTGGGCTGTAAAATGTCGCGGTTTCAGTGACATGGCTGACCTGATCTGCGTATTCGGGGGTCGTTGGGCTGAGATCTAATAACACAATGCACGTGATAAGTGGCCATGGGCATGGTGTGAGCTTACATTCCAGCTGACACAAGAAAGCAAACGCACCCACACGCACACACAGACACACACACACGCATACACACACGCACCCACACACGCACACACACACGCACGCACACACACACACACGCACACACGCACAGGCGTGCACACACATACACACAGGCACGCACATCCGTCAGGCTTTTCCTCAAAGCCGTCATGGCTCCAGTAGCTGTAGTCGAAGGTGAACGACTTCTCTGTGCCTTCTTCCAGGTTCTTGATGACGGTGGACTTGCCGTCCATCTCAATCACGTTGACCGCATTGCGCTGCTTCTCGCGGCTGTTGAACGGGCGCACACGCACCGCAACCTTCACGCTCTCCTCAGACATGCCGCCGTCTGGTCGCTGATGATGGGCGCAAGGGGACAAGAGGAGGGCAGGAGGTGTGTGCGAGGGTTTGCTTTGGTTGGTGTGTTTGGTTTGGCGAGGAGGAGCAAACAGCGAGGCGGCAAGCGTCGCGAAGGAGGAGGAGGAGGAATGCCTGCTTTTTTTATGCTGTCGCAAACGATTTGTGTGTGTGTGTGTGTGTGTGTGTGTGTGTGTGTGTGTGTGTGTGTGTGTGTGTGTGTGTGTGTGTGTGTGTGTGTGTGTGTGTGTGTGTGTGTGTGTGTGTGTGTGTGTGTGTGTTTCTGTGATGCGCACAGACGCGCGTTTACAACTTGTTGCACATTCACGTCATGGCATGGCATGTCAACTGGGCTCCCTCTCCCTCTCCACCTACACAGCAAAGCACATTCTCTCTCAGTCTGTAGGAGGTAGCAACAATTACAATCACATATCACACAATCGCATGTATCATCACATATCACAATTAACCAGAGCCACTGCAATGCCGCTACGGAGTGGCGGGATCGACATGTGGGGCATGGTGCAGCCGGCCTCGCTGGCGACGTCGCCGCCGCACCCGCCGCTGTCCTTCCTGCTGCTCTGCCTGCGCTTCATGCGTTTCATGCTTGGTCGTCGGTTTCGTTTTCTGCTTCTCTTGGGCTGGCGCAGCAGCCAGGTCGCGGCAGCCGCTGTCGAGCGAGTCAGAGTCGTCGCTCCGGTGCGACATCAGCACCGGCACCGGCGGCGGTGGCGATGGTGTCAGCGCTGACGGCGGGGTGTGGTCCACAAACGACATGGCAAAGCACGCAGAGTCGCAGTTGCGCTTGCGGCTGCCAAAGGGTGCATCGTGCTGGGCCACCAAGCTGCCGTCACTCCCATCACTCCCATCAGTTGCAGTGTCACCGTTGTCGTCATCAGCATCTGCATCCGCGCCAAACAGCGTTGGCGTGCCACTTCTCCGGCTCCTCCTCCTCCGGCTGTTCCTCTTGCTGCTGCTTCGCCGTCTCCTCTGGCTCTGGCTGCTGCGAGACGCCAGGGCTCCATCATCGTCGCCGTCGTCGTCGCCATCGTCATCTGTGGACGACATCGCCATGTGTGTCCTCATCGCGGGCGCAAGACAGGCATCGTCATCGTCGCTGTCGCTCATGATGCGCCGCATCACGCGCGAGCCAGTACGGCCATGGCCACGGCCGCCACCACTATCGCTGCTGCTGCGAACAACTGGCACCGCTGCTGGCGACACGGACGGCGACAGCATCGAGCGCAGGCGGCTTGGGCGGGCAGCTGCGACACCGCGCCTGGTCCCTCCTCGCACCCTGCTGCTGCCAACAGGGGGCGAGTCGGGGCCACCATCACCACCCTCACCGCCCTCATCGTCATCGGAGGAAACGAGGAGACGGCGGCGGTTGTTGGTGGTTGCGCGAACACTGAATTCAGGCGAGGAGAACAGTTGGTCCACGCAGCTGGCGCCTGTCCTCGCCGCGTTTGTTCCCGCCATCGCCCGTGATGGCGGCGGCGTCGTCGTCGTCGTCGGGGTTGCTACTGTCGTTGGCCGTGCGGGGTGCCGTGTCGAGCGGTGCATGGAGGAGGCCGATGCGTGACGCCGCGCGCCTCTTGTCTGTTTTGCACGCTTGCAATCCAACTCAGCAAAGTCATCATCGTCGTCATTGTCGTCATCGTCATGAGCATCATCAATGTCCGTATCACCACCAAGACCACCACCACCGTGACGATGGTGACCATGGTTGGCGGCAGCAGCGGGTGAAGCGGTGCTGCTTGCACGGTGCCTGCTGTGCCGCCGCCGCCGCCGCCGCCGCCGCTGCGGGCGTGAGAGGGTGCGATCAAACTGTGGGGACGTGGCCGCCAAATCAACGGGCACAGAGGCAGGGCGGCGTCCCGGTGACAACAACAGTGACGATGATGCTGACGACAGTGGCGATGATGTCGGCGCTGTGGCAGCAGCGGCTGAGGACACTGAAGATGCAGCGGCTGATGATGAGGGGCGTGCTGAAGGGGAAGGCGTGCCACGACGGGGATGCAGCCAATCATGCTGCTGTTGCTGGTGGTGGTGGGCCTGGTGGGGCTGGCGGTCATTGGGCAGCGGCAGTGAGTGGGTGCGACGCAGGGGGGACATGGAGATGGAGACAGACCACGACAGCACGGCCGGCGATGTTGATATGGACGTCTGCATCATCAGCTGCTCGGCAGTGGACGTGACAGTCGTGCGTGTCCTTGCCCTCTGCGCGCTTGATGCCGCCGCGGAAGGCGCGCTGCGGGGCGACTGAAACGCAGGCGGGAGCGAGTCCGCAGACGACGAGGAAGAGGAAGAGGAGGAAGAGGATGATGACGCCACCAATGGTGGTGGTGGTGGTGGTGGTGGGCGAGGCGGCGTTGCTGTTGTTGCTGCTGCTGTCGCTCTCGCTGCTGCGGTTGTTGTTGTTCTTGTTGTTGTTGTTCGTGGTGGTGGTGGTGGTGGTGTTGCCGCGCGTGCACGCGTGCGTCGTGGTCGAGCAACGCCCCGTGCACTGTCGACAAGAGTTGCTGATGGCGGGGATGTTGCTGTTGTTGCCGACACTCTACTTCCAGCACGGGTCGAGCCACCCGAACGAGCACTCCCGCTGTTGCGGCGAGCAGCCAGCGCGGCTGCCTGGCGTCGTGTCATGACGGGCGACAGGATGACGGGAGGGGAGGCAGCGCGCCGCACCCGCGGTGACGCTGGCGAAGACGCACGCACGGCCCTCGTTGCCCGCCGTGGCCTTGCCGCCCTGTGCCTCGCTGTTGCGTGTCTGGAGCCATGTGTCCGTGCAGATCGGCGGGCGGATGAGGACGATCGCGTTGTCGCTGCAGCACGTGAAGAGGAGGAGGACGATGAAGCCAGGCCAGCATGGCGATGGCCCCGCCGTCCAGAGCGCCCACCACCACGCGTGTGGTGGCGAGTGGTACGACGCGTGGCTGTCGTCGACAGCCATTCACCATCATCATCATCGTCATCGTCGTCATCGTCATCGATGACAATGACGCTGTCATCGTTCGAGTGGTTGAAGCGATGACGGCCTTCATAAGTATCATCATCATCATCATCATCGTCGTCGTCGTCGTCGTCCTCGTCTTCGTGTTCGTCAGCGTGTGGGATGTACTCCTCATCGCCATCGTCACCGCTGTAAGCACCGTTGTCGTCGTCGTCGTCGTCATCGTCATCGTCGTCCACCACAAAGCCGTCGAGGACATAGCCGTCGTCCGACACTGTTGGGTGCGCGTTGGTAGGCTGTGAGAGGAGGCTGTTGATAAACTCAATCAGAAACAACGCCTCAGGGGGCATACCAAACGCGGCAGCGTCATCGCCGTCCTCATCCTCATCATCGTTGGCGGTGATGGGTGGGGCGGGCTCCTGACCGCACACGGCGCGTGTCTGGGGATCAATGTGGTGGATTGTGGTGAAAGGGCTCTTGCACAGCGGGCAGCTGTGGGCCTCTGCTGCCCATCGCTTCAAGCACGCCAAGCAGAAGATGTGCGTGCAGGACTCGGGGCGAGCGGCAACGGCCACCTTCTTCTGTTGTTGCTGTTGCTGCTGTTGATGGCGGAGCCGGGCAGACCGTCTGACTGCCACAGATGATGATGATGAAGATGATGATAGTGATGAAGATGATGCAGCATGCCTGTTGCTGTTGGTGTTGTTGCTGGTGTTGTTGCTGGTGTTGTTGTGTGCTTCATCGTCCGAGTCAAACGCACCAGGCTCTTGCAGACACACTGCACAGAACAGCTTGTCTTCCTCGCTTGCCATTGTGTGCAAGGGTGACACAGAAAAATGCCACAAGGAGCAGCAGCAGCAGGAGCACTCAGAGCCCAACGATGATGATCAAACCAAGTTGCGAGTGTGTGCGTGTGTGTGTGCGCTGACGATGCGCAGTCGACGCGTGAGCTGCTGGGAATGAGGCGAACAACACCCCCTTTTATTTTTCACTTTCCCCTCTTTTCGCTGCGATTGTGACGTCGAGGGAACAGAGCGCTGCTGTTGTTGTGCTGTTGTGGGGTGGGGTGGTGGGGTGTGATTTGGGCTTTTTGGATGGTGCTGTGTCGTCGTCGTTGTTGTTGTCGTTTGGCTGGCTGGCTGGGAAAATCAAACTTGCCGCGACGAGTTTGGCTGGCCTGGGTAATCTGTGAATAACATTCACAAATCGCCCACAACCGCCAATCGACTGAATTCAGCCCAACACGGCGACAGGCGAAAACTGCAGGAAGACGACAAGCAAGAAGTGACGCATGGCGGCCGCTCAACTCTGGTCTGCACTGACCACAGCCAGCAACGAGGTGATGCGCAGTGTGTGTGTGTGTGTGCGTGTGTGTGTGTGTGTGTGTGTGTGTGTGTGAATGTCTGTGTGTGTGAATGTGTGTGTGTGTGTGTGTGGGTGGGTTTGCGCGTGTGTGTCTGTGTGTGTCTGTGGGTTTAACGTGCGTGTCTGTGTGTCTGTGCCTGTGTGTGTATCAGTGTGTGTGCTTCCCTCGCCCTCTCTTTCGCTCTTTTCCCCCTTGCTGTCTGACGCTCCTGTTCTCTTTCGTTTGCCTTCTCGCCGCTCCCTCCTCCCACCGACAACAGGATGTGGTGGCGCTCTTTCCTTCTGTCAAGGACATGCTTGTGCAAGGCCTGACATACTTCAAACCACGCAGGTGGGTGTGTGTGTGTATACGTGCATGTGTGTGTATACATGTGTGTATATACATGTGTGTATACATGTGTGTATACGTGTGTGTGTGTGTGTGTGTGTGCGTGCGTGCGTGCGTGTGTGTGTGTGTGTGAACGTGTGTGCGTGCGTGTGTGTGTGTGCGCGCGCGCGTACGTGGGGTCGGGTTTTTGCTGTTGTGGCGCTGCTTGTGCATCAAGGAGAGCAGTGGCCTGCGTGTCGATTGGCGGTTGTGTTTAGCATGTCCAATGCAGTGTCTTCGAACTCATTCCTCCCACTGCCCATGGCTCTGTATCCCTCGTGGTCTGTCCATTCTTCAGTGCTGCATCTTGCTCAAAGCTGAAGAAGGAAGTTGGGGACACCGCCACGCGCAATTTCCTCCTGGATCTCAGCGAGGCTTTGGTGAGATTTGCCACGGAGTGATTACACGCCCGTTTTATTTGTATGTGTGTGTATGCGTGTGTGTGTGTGTATGGGTGTGTTGCGGCGGATGGGGACAAGGAAGGCACCCGAAGCTCACAACACACGCACACATGCAAACACAAACACACAACAACAACAACAACAACAACAACAACAACAACAACAACAACAACAACACGACCGAACGCATGTACCTCGCAGAACTTGGATGAGCTGCAGACGCGCAAGGTGTTTTCGGACTATGCCGCGTCTCCGCGCCTCAACGCGCTGAACGAGGAGCTCGAGAGCTACATTGCAGCCCAGCTTGCAGACACAGACCGCCGCGACGCACTCTTTCAGCAGGTGCGCAGAGACACGTGCAACCCCGCTTTTGAACCATGTGACATTGGTGGGTGGAAGAAAACACTGGTATCAACGATAACAGCACTACCAAACCAGACGCTCACCCAACGCCCTGCTACCTTCGTCACGCACGTGCTCATGCGTGTACTTCATGTGTTGTGTGCCACAGGTGTGCAACTTCTACTTTGAGGAGCGGCTGCATGTCCTGCAGTGCCAGCAGTATCTCCTCGGCCACAGCAACGAGAAGGACGTCCAGGGCCTCTGCCTCAACGTCTTCGACAGAAAGGTTCGTGTGTATGTGTGTGTGCGTACACGTGTGTGTGTGTGTGTGTACATGCGTGTGTGCGTGCGTGCTTTCGAGAGTGTGTGCTTTCGTGTGCTTGGGTGTGTGCGTGTATGTGTGTGCCAGGTTGCACTCGTGTTTGGTGCGAAGAACTCACCAATCTTGTCCGTCCGATGTGTAGGATGGCAAGCAGCAGGATGCATGCTTCGCCAACACCATCAAGGTCATGAAATCGTCCTCCCTGGACTCGTATCTTGCAGCCGCCCTCAGCCCCCAGAATGCAACGTGCGCACTACACTGTATCTATGCATATATGTCTGTGGTGGTGGTTTGGTGCATGCGTGTGTGTGTGTGTGTGTGCGTGTGTGTGTGTGTGCGTGTGTATGTATGTATGTATGTATGTATGTATGTATGTATGTATGTATGTATGTATGTATGTATGTATGTATGTATGTATGCGTGCCTGCCTCTGTATGTGTGTGTGTGTCCCGTTTGTTTCCTCTTCATATGAGGTTTTTCCTTACGCTGTTCACATGCACACGTGTGCTGGCTTTGTCATGTTTACATGATTCAGCGACTCCACCAAGAAACCCAAAGGTGCGTTTGTGTGTGTGTGTGGGTGTGTTGATCGATGTAGCCAAGCACGCAGATGCTATTGCTGGCTTCTTGTACTGTCTCGCTACGCTCACCGTGGAATGCTCCCTGTGAAACCCATTTGCTTGGTGGCGCACGTGTATGTGTGTGTGTGTGTGTGTGTTGCAGGCTCAGCATCAACAGATGTACCAGCTCTCAAGGGTAAGTGAAAACACAGACTTTCAAAACACACCCACACACATATCATACACATCACACACGTGCACTGGCCAGGACACCAGAAGCATGCCACACGCGACCGATGCATTCGCCATACCACCAGTGATGTCGCGGTCTCACTTCCTCCACCATCCATCACGTTCATATCACGCTCACCACCGCCACTCTTGGGGTGTGTTTACAGGTGTTGGGCAGAAGTGCGTGCTGTTCGTGCAGGCGCTGCGGGAGCGGATTGAGCAATTTCGCGTCGTCGCCCTCGTCCTGCAGGTGACGACGGCAGGCAACGCCTCTATGCTGCGCAGAGGGGTGGTGTGTGTGTGTGTGTGTGTGTGTGTGTGTGTGTGTGTGTGTGTGTGTGTGTGTGTGTGTGTGTGTGTGTGTGTGTGTGTGTGTGTGTGTGTGTGTGTGTGATCGTGGTAAGGGTGCAGACAACTGTAACAACCACTGCCAACTCTCACCACCCCCAACGACGACGACGACGACCTATGTACTGCAGGCGTTTGTGCCGACGGCTGCAGATGTGCGCGACGTTTGCGACCTGTACGATCTTCCGGTAAGACACGATACGCAACACGTGTAAATTCTCTTCGTGTGCGTGTGCGTGTGGGTTTGCCATTTTCTCCTCCTCCACCTCCTCTGCCTCCTCTGCCTCCTCCACCTCCTCTGCCTCCTCTGCCTCCTCACGCCGTGACTCTTACAATCGCTTGTCCATCTATCTCCACGACTGTGTACATGTGTGTGTGTGTGTGTCAGGTTCTGGAGAGCTTGTCGGGGATGCAAGAGAGCGGGCTGCTTTCCCGCGTCCAAGCCGACTATCGCACCATGCTCTGCCAAGCCAAGAGCCTTCGAGGTGATGTGCTAACACTTGCTCCACACACGTGCTGACAGTTCACTCTGCCTGGACATGTGTTGCTCGTGCGTGTGTGGTTCTTCCGTCGTGTGGCTCGTGTTTCCTCCCCCTATCCTCACGTTATGACCCTGCCTTTGTGTCTGCATGTGTCCGTGTGCAGTTGCTGTTCTACTGCAGGCGATGCAGCTGTATTCCTTTGAGGAAATGGTGCTTGACCTCGTTCAACGGTCAGCAATAACGCCACTGCCTTTGATGCGCTTGCGTTTTCTTCGTGCTTGTTGCTTCTTCAAATGTACACTCACATACATACACTCACATACATATACTCGCACCAACATTCACACGCATTCGCTCGCTCACTCTCACATGCATCCCGTTCCCTTTATTTTCCCTCCACCACGTGTGCAGGGTGCGTGAGGCGACGCCACTGGACGACTGCCTGCTGCTGTCCTATTTCAAGGACATGAAACCGCTCACGGCTGCAGCGCACAAGTGGGGGAAGCAACTCAAGACACTCCCAACATGTAAGTACCGTTGGGGGGGGGGTGCCGGGATGTGAAACGAGAGAGCACGAGAGGACGGAATAGGAGGAGATAGAGAGAGAGTGTGTGTGTGTGTGTCTGTATTTGTGTGTGTGTGTGCGTGTGCGCGCGCGTGTGTGTGCGCGTGTGTGTGTGCGTGTGTGGGTGTGGGTGCGTGTGTTTCCGTTCGTCACGCACCTTCTCAAATCAGCAATACCACACCATACTTGTGTGCGCGCCCTGTTCCTTGTTCACTCCATGTGCTGCCCCTTGCTGTGTGCGTGTGTGCAGCGAGCGCGAGGCACGCGGATGCGGAGGCGGCGGCGGATCTGGTGCTGCTGTCACCGGTGCTGATGGCGTGGGCGTACACCACCCGCAACGCAAAGGCCTACATGCAGGACGCAAACACAGAGGCAGGCGCTGCTACCAACCTCGATGACCTCTCCTTCGACGTGCGTGGCCGTGTGTGTGTGTGTGTGTGTGTGTGTGTGTGTGTGTGTGTGTGTGTGTGTGTGTGTGTGTGTGTGCGTGGCTGTAATTGTGTGAGGCTGCAATTGTGAGGAGAGGCTGTGCGAGGCTGTGGTGTGTTTGCTTGTTTTGTTTTGTCACGGTGTGAGTGCTGTTCTGTTGCCATATTTTCTCGCTCACCGTTGGTATCATGTCACGTCTGTCACCTTTACAGGACACGAATGTGCGCTTCCTGCACACGCGCTATGCACAGACATTCGCCGCAGTCCTCTCCAAGTCATGTACGTCGTGGAGCACGATCTTGCCGGCTTTGCGCTTGGTTGTTGCTTCAGTGATTCCCCAGACTCACAACCACACTCCCACACGCACATGTGCCCACCTCTCACCCTTACCACACACCTTTGCCACAATCACCTCACACACCCTCTGCTACGAACGATAGCAACGCCGGCGTTCTCTGTGCATCCGTGGGAGCAGCTGCTGCAGTGCGTGCGTGTGTGCGCGCAGGGCCTTGGCGACGTACATGCGCTGACGAGCGTCTATCTGCGGCAGGAGGAACTGCTGTACATCCTCGAGGGCCTTGCTCTGGGAATCTACAACGCCATCGACCTCTGCTTGATCGACTTCCCTGAATGTACGCCGTCAGTGTTCGTGGCTTGCGCTTCATGTCGACTGCTTTACACAGTTGTTGGCTTGTGCATGATGTTTTGGCTGACGCTCGGCTTGGTTGAGTTGTGACACAGCTGCTCTTTGCTCTTCCCACCGTTTCAACGATCCACGGCCCACTTCTCAACCACATCCGCATCCACATCCCTACCGCCACCAACATCATCATCACCGACACCACCAACGCCACTCAAGTGGGCACGTTTGAGTTTGACCAGGTGACGAGCCTGCTTGGCTCTGTGCTGACGTATCTCCCGCAGCAGGCGAGCCAGATCCTTGACCAGCACCAGCGCCACGACAAGTGCCCCGTCGCCACCCTCCTCGCCACCCACCTCGCCAGGTTTGCACACAACTTGTGCCCCGCGAAATGAGTGTGTGGCGGACGAGCTTGCTTACGCATGTCACATCTCGCTCATGCGCCAGCCGGTTTCACGCGAATCACTCACTTCCGCACGCACACACACGCACACACACACATGCACACACACAACACACACATGCACACACACACAACACACACATGCACACACACACATGCACGCACACACAACACACACCACCACCACCACCGTCACTGTTGCCGGAATGCAGCTTCCCCTACCGCGGGCTGCCGGTGCTGCACACGCTGCTGTGCATCTGCCGCTGCCACCACCGCTATGCAGACAGCGGCGACGACGCAGCCGCACAGCTCGTCGAAAAGGTGATGGCTTCTCTTTTTTATGCATGTACGCGTGTGTGTGTGTGTGTGAATGTGAGTGTACGTGTGCGTATGTGTGTGCGTGCGTGATATACTTCACTCACCATTCCCTTGTCCACCCTTCGCCCACGCGTGTACACACGAATTGGCTCAGGTCACGGCGCTGCTGGCGAATGTGCCGGGCTTCACATACGAGAGCTCCACCACCGAGTGCGTCTGCCTGTATGCTTCCACGATGCGCCTTGCTGTTACGCTGTTGTCCCTTTCCTCTGTGAACCTTTTTGTTATGGCACAGCACTCACGTGTATCATGCATGCCCACGTTCATTTGTGTGTATGTGTGTTGCACTTGGTTGTGCAGCGAGAACAAGCTCTGGATGCGTGACACGGCTGCCATCGACGAGGTAGACACCAATCCACCGCCGTCTCTTCCAGTTGTACCTCTGTCTGTTGGACCGATGATTGCTGCTTGACGCCTCAACCCTCACCCATCATCGCACACACACGCGCGCGCGCGCACGCACACACACACACACACACACACACACAATATCCCCCGCGTTGTTGTCTGCACAGGAGATGCACGTTCGGGCCCTTCGCGACTTTGACGTCACATTCGGTGCGATGAAACACCAAACGTGCGCTGCTCGTGTTTCTGCAATCACACAGGCACTAGACCACACGTTCATACATCCAAAATACACACCCCCGCCCTCAGCTCACACCGATACACATTTTCTGTGCATGTGTTGCAAACGACACGTTGTCAGGGAGCATCGTTGTTCCGATCACTGCGGGCACCGCTGGTCGAATCCTCACACAGCGCGACAACAACATCCTCATCGAGGTGCGTATGTGCGTGCAGCGTTTTTTTGGATCGGTGTCAAGTGCGCAGTTGTGGCGAGTTCCGTTGGTGCACGCCAACACTTGGTGTTTGTGCTTGATGGGCACATCAGCCATGCTCCGCATTCACCACCACCACCACCACCATCATCATCATGACAATGGTCTCCTCGCGCGCTGCCAATACGACTGCTGCGGCTGCTCTGTAGTGGTCGTGCCCCCACAGTGGCTGGTTCTTTCTCCTGCAGCTGGCGCAGGATGCCCTCTGCAACGGTGAGTTTGCCCCTCTGATCATGGCGTGAGCGTGTGCACTCCTCAACACATGCATACATCTGCTGCCACTCCACCCCCTTGGTGTACCTATCACGCATATTTCGTTCTCATCATCCTCATCATCATCACCACCACCACCACCATCTCCACCACCACCTGCAGGAACACCGCTGGTGCAGCAACCTGTCGACTTTGTGGAGACGCTCGTGCAAGTTCTCTCCCTCCTGTGCGAAACCAGGTCTGGGAAGCCGCTTCTTTGGCGTGCACAAAGGCACACACACACACACGCACGCACGCACACACACACCGCGCACTTATACACAGACACTACAAAGCAACACACACACAACCACGAACCCCGACACACACACGCACGCACACATAATCCTACCGAGCGCCCGCTCACGACCCCCCCCCCCCCCGCATGCGCCCCTGTGATGTGTAGGTCTGGCCTTGTTGCGCTGACGTCGCACCTGACGGCGGTGACAGCTGCTATTGGCCAGCCAGATGACAACATCCTCCTCAACTTCGTGTTCAGGTCAGCACCAAGTGCCGTGTGTCTCTCCTCTGTTGCTGTGTGAGGCCGTGAGCATGCCATGCCCGCCTCCATTGCTCGACGTGCTATTACACCGACCTGTCTCATCCCTATCCCCTGCCTCCCCCTCCCCATTACTCCTCGCTCCTCTTCATTGCTGTTTGTGACGGTGTCCGCCTCAGCACGCTGAAGAGTGCCCTGGGAGTGGAGTGGCCGCCGCTTGCGCTCATTGCCAGCTGCTTTGATTTCCTGCGCGCATACGCCGATTTCGACCCCGCGTGTGTGTGGGAGCGACTGCTTGAGGACGGCCTCTACATGAGCCAGGGCGGTGAGTCACACAACGTATCACGACCACTCACCCTTGCCCTACGACCTGCATCGTGTCACTACCACGTGACTTCCGCTCATGTCACCGGAATCCATGAGCCATATCACCTGACCTCCTCTCCTTCTCTTCCGTTGCACTGTCACCCACTACCTTTTTGTTGCCCCTAACGCGTGCCACTGCCAACTCACCCCATCACTTCCCTCCAGTTGCGACGCCACTCCGCGGCGTTCTCTTCAACTACGAGCAGCGCGAGGGCGCCTACCCAGTCACGACAGCATATGTTGAGCTCATTGCAAAGCTGTTTGCCGTCGCCCACGTCACATCAGAGTACGCAGATGGCTGGTGTTGATGTGCAGTTGTTGTTGTTGTTGTTGTTGTTGTTGTTGTTGTTGTTGTTGTTGTTGTTGTTGTTGTTGTTGTTGTTGTTGTTGTTGCTGTTGCTGTTGTTTG